TATTTTTGAGTTGTTCATATAATTTTTATTATTAATTACGATGGTTGAACACCAAATGTAAGCATTATTGTTATTTTGAAGTTAAATTAATTTATGTAATTATACAATTGATGAAGTTGTTAAATAAAGAACGAAATATTTACAAATATCTCTTAATAAATGCTTTTCATTGTTCGTGTCTTATAGCTAATAACAATCGAAAAATTAAAAGTAATTTAATCTATTTTAATTTCAGTTTTCTTTTCAATTTATTTAAAATAATGTATATGTTGTTATGGTGTTACTAAATTTATGTAGGTTAGAAATTATTACAAATTTCCATCCTCACACGATCAATTCAACGTTTGATGTCAAAGACTGGAGCCAGAGTGATTTCACAAATTCGTCGCTCACTTTGTCCTTCGCCAACGATGTTAGTTCATTTAATAGTTGAGTGGGCCATTGGTCAGCAAACTCGACGTCTAATAATCGGTCGGGGGATCTAGTACAGCGTCCGCAACATCAGTCACAATGCTAGGCTCAATTGTAGCTACTATGGTGCTGAACTTAGTCACATCATTGCAGACACCTGCCTCCACGAACTGCACCTCAATCTGAGCAAACCATATTTCGGATCGCTCATGTCAGAACGGAGGTACCTTCATCGAGACGCGATGCACAATTAGTGCTGAATCTTCGCGCTACTGTCCGTTCGATGTTGCACTTTCGCTTTATACCGTTCACATATTCTAACATGTGTTTAGGCTGGTGCTGCCACAATACCATAAAAAACGCTTCCGATTAAACAAAAATAACAAATGCTTCCGTTTACTTATATTGATGGTAAAAGTGTATAAAAATTAAAATCTGAAAAAAATCACGAAGAAATTTAGGTTTGTTATACTATATAACCAAAGAAGTAAACGTACTAAAAGAATCAACTGTTTCCACAACTCGCAATTTTTTTAAACACTTTATTTTATTCATCACAAAAATTTATTTTGAATTTTACATGGTTCCTACGGAAAAGCTTATTTTTGGCCAAAAAATAAATTAAAGTTTGCGAGTTTATATTTAATGTATATATCAAACTTATATGTGATTAAAAAAGAACGAGAGTTTTTGAATTTCCGCGCTTATCCATTCAGAAATTTTTTTTTATTTTCACGCTGGAAACACTATTATACACATTCTGTCAAAGCTTAATGCTTACCGTACGATTAGTTTTTGTTTGGCGGCTGTACAAAGAAGTCGAAATATTTTCGTGTGGCGATTTTTAGCTGAATTTCATTCAAAACAGTTATCGTTGTGATGTGGTCAAAGAGATGATTTCCAACGCAGATAGTGACCCCACATTCATCGAATGAATCATAACTGGTGATGAGACATGGGTCTATAAATTTGACATGCCCACCAAACAACAATCGACCGATTGGTGCTTTGAAGGTGAACCGAAACCGAAAAGAGAACGCCAAAGTCGGTCCAAATTCAATGTTATGCTGTTTTGTGACTGTTTTCTTCGATATTTGTGGTGTGGTGCACTATGAATTCCTTCCGGACGGTCAAATGGTCAATAAGGAGTATTATTTGGCCTTTATGCGTCGTTTGCGTGAGGCCATTTACAAAAAGAGGCCAGATTTATTGAAGAAAAACTCATGGATTTCACACCACGATAACGCACCGGCTCACACAGCGTTGGTTGTGTCGCAGTTCTTAGCCAAAAACTTCACCAATATCATTAACCAAGCACCGTACTCGTCAGCTATGGCCCCGTGTGACTTTTTCTTCTTCCCCCGACTTAAATTGCCATTGCGTGGAAGACGTTTTAAGACCATAAAGGCCATAGAAGAGAATTCGCTGCGTAAATTAAAGGCCATAGCTTCGGCGGCCTATAAAACTTGTGTGGAAAATGTGCATGTGTTGCAGCAGGAGGAGAGTACTTTGAAGGCGATAATAATGAAAATTATTAAAAATTAAAATTTTGAGTTTTTTTTTTTAAATTCTCGTTCTTTTTTGATCATAAGGTATTTTAACAAAAAAGTTTTCACCAGTGCAGTACAGAATTCTATCTTATGGCTATAACCCACTTTTTAAGGAAAAGTTAGGTAAAAAAACCATTGTTTGAGCCAGTAAAAACAAAATATTAGTCAGTGAACGTATTTATCTTCTTAAAACTTATATTAGTCTAAAAAGTTATTTTTGTATTAAAATAAGTTGTTGACCATTATTTAATTTATTTTAATACAAAAATATTCTCTTATTTTTCATAAATAATATGAATAATTGAAACATTTGATACAATTAAAGCCAATAATTGCTTGGATATTTGCGAAACACGAATATTTTTTATGATTTTGTGCTTTTTAACACAGGGTACAATCTAAATTTTATTTATACTTAAAGAGCTTTCCAGCAAAAAATCTTATCTGTTCTTAACATTAACAAGGTAATTCTAGCAACGATCTTTTAGCTCACTAGACTCAAAAAATCTATTATTTTTTTGCTATTTTATTAATAGTTATAATAATAAGTAAATCTTATAGCAAATCTGTTATTTACACACATGACCACGTATGCATATAAATAATCAAAATCCTCACCTAGAGAGAAGCCATACGATAAGCATTCCAAATAAATTATATGACAACTGATAAAAGTTTGTCAAACATTGCATCTGCAGCAGCATGGCTTACAATTCCCAATACAGGTAGTCCAAAAATTAAATAGCAATCCTAACAAATATGGGACGCTAAGTCAATATAAAACGCAAACTATGCCCTCAAAAAATTAGTTTGAGAAGTGCTAAAATAAATAAAAGTAACAAAGATAGTGCACCCACAAATATACTTTCTGGTAATAGATTTGTTGAACTAGATTAATCTGTAGATGAATCTAATCAGCCTACTAATAAATAGTGTAAATCCGCTCCAAATTACCTGTGTGAACCAAGCTCTAATAGCCTTGTTACACTCCTTGTACGTCTGATTGGTAACAATACTTTTCATATTGTTCCTTTAACCAGGGACAATATACACGAAAACAAAATCCAAATTGAGAACCGAAAATAGTTTTAGAGTCATAACGAAACATTTGGCTGACAGAAAGAAAAAGCCGTACGGAAACCTATAAGATATTAAGGACGCAATCTTGGTTTTAAACTCAATCTTGATTTCAGCAACAGAAAACTTCACCCTCTTCAGGTGTCACGTTATGCTTGAAAGAATACACATGCTGTCTAGTTTTTAGGTTATTTACTTCATTTAAAATTGGAACTAACTATGAGAATCGTGTAGCCACTGTTGCTGCTGCTACTGCCGCTGTTGATATCGCTGCTACTGCAGCCATCGCTGTTGATATCACTGCTGCTAATGGTTGTTGTTGCTGATGGACGTTGCCGTCAATAAGTTTGTGATGTTATTCGGAAATTTCCTTTGGATGGGAGCTTATAATGTACAAAATGTCTGTCACCACAAATTTAACGGCAGGATGTAACTTATACAGCTTAATTTAGTAATTGTCGTTTATGTAGGTATGTTATAAATATTATTTCTCAAGATATGTAATATACTTTCTTTTAATTGATTTTAATCGATATATTTTTCACTTGTTTTTGTAATAAAAACCACAGATTTTGAGAAATTTTGTCTGAAAATATATTATCTTTGAAACGCTGTAAATTTCAAGTTTCTACCTTTTATAGAACTTGAGATATAGCCATTTGAAAATGTGTCTTCTATACCAGTTCTCAAAACCCCATGGGTCCATATCTCCTAGAAAAAAAACACAAAATTTTTTCCCGAGATACAGGTCTTCTTTTTTTATGAAAGGAGCTCATAAAAAAAATTTCAGTCAAATCGGAGATCATGAGGTCAAAAAGGTGTCCGAGTTGTAAAAGAATGACCCATATACACAACAGGTGCTTTAAATTAAAATATAAATCATTTACTTTTATTAATTTCCCAAAAGAATCTAGAGTTCCACAAGGGAGTCTTCTTGGTCCTATCTTGTATGTACTTCACACATTAGATATCCCAATAAGTAACTTATTTGATACCACATCGTTTGCCGATAATACTACAATTTTATGTCGAAACAAAAACGTTGTGTTAGCTTAAAACCAACTTCAATCTCATTTCTTTTGGGTGGAGAAATCGTTGTCAAAATAGTGTATTAAACTTAATGAACTAAAAAGTAGACACATCATTTTTATCATAAATCGAAGTATATCTCCAACAATTTAACTAAATAACATTCCCATACTCCAATACAGTCCATCATACTCTTTCATAACTCCATCATAAACCCTATATGGACTTATGGTATCTTTATGATAATGCTTCAAATATTGAAATTATCCAAAGAGTTCAATCATAAATACTTAGAACAATCACTGATGCTTCATGGTATATTAGGAATGCAAGTATTCATCGAGATCTACAAATTCCCTTAGTTATAGCTGAATTTGACAATATAAGAAACAATATAATCAAAAACTGACAAAACATGTTGACCCCTTAGCTAAGAGGCTCGCACTTCTACCCATTATTCTCGCCTAAAAAGAGTTGACCGTTCAGTCATGACGTTAGCTAAATTCAGTAAATAATTATTTATATATG